CAAAAAAAAAAAAAAAAAGCTGGGAAGATCTAGTGAACAATGGAAAGAAAATAATCAGAAATCCAGTTAGTAAAGACAGTATTAACAAGTTCCATAATTAAGGTAAACCGTCCCTAATCTCTTAACTTCAATAATTCCAATATAAATCCCAATTCTTCTCATATTTCCTAAAATAATCGCTTAAATAATTCTTTCCTTTTTTTTTTGAGTCTGAGCCTCATTCTGTCACCCAGATTGTAGTACAGTGGTGCCATCATAGCTTACTGTAGCCTCAACTTCCTGGATTCAAGTGATCCTCCCAACTCAGTCTTCTGAGTAACTGGAAGTACGGACGTGGTAAGCCACAACACTTGGCTAATTTTTACTTTTTGGTAGAGATGGGGTCCTACTATCTTGCCCCTGCTGGTCTCAAACTCCCGGGCTCAAGTGATCCTCTCACCTCGGCCTCCCAAAGTTCTGGAATTATACACGAGTAATGGCCCTTGGCCAATTAATTCTTTACCTGATTAATTTTTATCATCATCACTATCACTTTTTCCAATAAAACTGGCCTCCATAAAAAATCCTCTTAATTTTTCTACATACTGATCACCGCAAATTTTTACAATCTCAGCACCCAAAGAAGTTTTCTTCCAAATGACTTCTAGAGCTATGGGTCAACAATCTCCAAAGATGGATTAAGTGGTTTAGGAGACAAAGATAATGAGAAACAGGAGAGAGAGGAGCTGATCATTTCTCAATTTCTATAATTAATTAATAAATATCTTTTTGGCTGGGCACAGTGGCTCAAGCCTGTAATTCCAACACTTTGGGAGGCCAAGGTACTTGGATCTCTTGAGATTGGGAGCTCAAGACTAGCCTGTCCAACATGGTGAAACCCATTCTCTACAAAAATACAAAAAAAATTAGCCGAGCAGTAGTCCCAGCTACTCAGGAGGCAGGGGCAGTAGAATCGCTTGAACCCAGGAGGTGGAGGTTGCAGTGAGCCAAGACAGAACCACTGCACACCAGACTGGGTGACAGAGCAAGACTCTGTCTTAAAACAACAACAACAAAAATTTTTCGTCTATTATTTTTTCCAAGGCAATGTGTTTATATTCTCATTTAATTACATTGATGTGTAAAACTTCACAACAGCACAACACCCATAATAAGAATAAAATACATCAGCAGTATAAAGTTGAATGGCAGAGGCCCAGTATTTCCCTGTAAAAAATGCCCAATAACTGATAATCTACATTTGATTTTAAGATTAGCCTTTACCAGGCATAAAAAAGCCCTCCTAAGTTTAAATGGTAGCAGTTCTGTTTGTTTTGTTTTTTTGAGACGGAGCCTTGCTCTGTCACCACGTTGGAGTGCAGTGGCATGACCTCAGCTCACTGCAAATGGTAGCCAGTTTTAATTGTGTCCTTGTGTTTGGTATGCTTCCGGAGAAGACTATTAAGCAGAAAATGAGTAAGTGAATTTCAAGAATGTGATGTTTATCCTTATTCTAATAAAATCCACTTACAGTCTGAGTAAATAAATTGAAAATATGACTTTAAAAATAGTAACATTTTAGTGATTTTTTTTTTCCTTCTCAAATATTCTATTTGGGTCCAAAATAAGCAAAATATTATCATCAATTAAGCTGGTTAATCCAAACAGTGGCATGTAAAACCACCTTAATATTATTATGTTCAACCAATTATTCTCAGAATTTTGAAATTTGTTCCAGTGTTTAGTTTATCCTGAAACAAAAACATGCTTTCCAATATAATGCTACGGCACATACAAGTTTGTTCCAGCATTAAGTCTGGCTCTTAAACACAAGACTCCCTAATCAAACTGTATATAGTTGTCTATGAAATAAATACTGACTCAGAAATATACCCATTGGGGCAAAAAGATAGGTATGTTTATTAACTTAAGAAATTAATTGTAGCTGCTGAGGTCTAATTTGGAAATAACTATTAACACCAAAAAAAAGCACAGACTCCCAATGAAAGCCCAAATCAGAAAGGTATGAATATATCCTGAACAATTCTTCATAATTATAAATATTAATCTTTATAGAATAACTGCCATATGCCCATCATTTAATTCTGGCAAGAATTCCATGAATTAGTTTTTTTTTTTTGGGGACGGAGTTTCGCTCTCGTTACCCAGGCTGGAGTGCAATGGCGCGATCTCGGCTCACCGCGACCTCCGCCTCCTGGGTTCAGGCAATTCTCCTGCCTCAGCTTCCTGAGTAGCTGGGATTACAGGCACGCGCCACCATGCCCAGCTAATGTTTTGTATTTTTAGTAGAGACGGGGTTTCACCGTGTTGACCAGGATGGTCTCGATCTCTGGACCTCGTGATCCACCCGCCTCGGCCTCCCAAAGTGCTGGGATTACAGGCTTGAGCCACTGCGCCTGGCCCATGAATTAGTTTTTATAGGCCAGGCGTGGTGGCTCACACCTGTAATCCCAGAACTTCTAAGGGGTCGAGGCGGGCGGATCACAAGGTCAGGAGTTCGAGACCAGCCTGGCCAATATAGTTATACCCTGTCTCTACTAAAAACACAAAAATTAGCCAGGCATGGTGGTGCCTGCCTATAGTAGTCCCAGCTACTCGGGAGGCTGAGGCATGAGAATCGCTTGAACCCAGGAGGTGGAGGTTGCAGTGAGCCAAGATCGCACCACTGCACTCCAGTTTGGGCAACAGAATGAGACTTCCATGTCAAAAAAAAGCTAGGAATACTGAGGCTCACGGAAAGCGTGTGACTTGCTGAGAGCACAAAGAGGGGCGTTAGGAATTGAATTCAGTCTCTCAAAGCCAGAGTGCTCTTTCCAAATATCAAATGAACCCAAAGAGAGCAGAGTGGTGTGAAAGTGCCATTTACCTACTAGCAACAATAAAGAAAATTAGTTTCATAAAACATTTAAAATTATTTGAAGCCCATCAGTATACACAGTCTTTGAATAAAATGTATTCACAGCCAGTCATTTAAAAAGTAACCCAAATCTAGTGAACACTCTTGTATCATTGTTTTCACCTATTAAAAAAGAGACTGTCCCGACAATCACTTTAACACTCATTACTTTTTATCCTCCTCACTTGGGATAGGAGGAGCTCTAGCTGAACTCCAAACGGTTAGTAAATATCATTTTGCATTGTCCTAATGGGGAGTGGAACAGAAAATACGCCTCTGTATCCTAATAATTAGACATTCTGTTTCTCCCCAAGAAAATACAAGTAAGCTCTATTAACAATCTAACACAGAAATCCAAGGTCTGACACAAACACAATATTATGAACGGACACTGGGCGAAAAAACTGACGAACTGTTAGGAGAAAAACGAAAAGGCGGGCGTCTTTCAAAATCCGTCCAAAGCCTGAACCGAGGAGGGTCTGGGGCAGGGTGGGGAGAAGGAAACGCGCTCCACTCCGAGAGGCTCCAACAAGGGCGCCTCCATATGCGGAACTCTCGCCCAATCCCCGCACAGGCTGAAATCCCGTGACCGCTGGGGAGCCTGTTTGGAGAAAAGTAGACAGGGAGCCCGCAAGCTGGGTTGGCAGAGGACGCTGGAACCTGGCTGCTCGGGGAGAAAATGTCTCCTTGGCAGCTGCAGCCACTGTCCTGTGGTCTAACTTCCCAGGGCTGGCTGGCGAGCGAGGTGTGCCAGCCGCTGGCGTCTCCCCACCCCCTTCCCCTACCCATTTCTCTCCGCGGCTCCTGCACTCCGCAGAGCTGCCGCGACCAAAGCTACACCACCTAGCCAAAAAGAAAGAAAAGAGACAATCCGGGGTGCGCGCGGGCCGGCTGGGCTCGCCCTCGTATTCCCCGGCCGGTGACAGCCGCCCCAGCCTTCGCCGCCCGCCAGCAGAGCGCAGCCCTCGGCGCTGGGGCGGGCGAGGTGGCAACTGACATTTGCACGGTTCGTCCACACAGCCCGCACGCCCGCTCCTCCCAGCCCGCGGCCTCGGACCCGGGACTCCGCCGAGGGCCGTCTCCCTCTGCTCACCCGACCCTGCTCCAGCTCATGGGCCAGGAAGGCGATACCACCAGCGGGCAAGTGGCCTCCGAAGGGAACCATGTTAACCTTGCAATGCACACATCTGCCCACACGCCCAGTGTCACAGCCCGGCCAAGCCTGACAGCCTCCCCGCCGCGGATGCCTGCCCAGCCCAACCCCGCATCCCCTCCCGGACCTATGCCCGGACCCCTAGCCCGTCCACCCTAAACCAAACCCAGGAAAGGGGAGATGGGATTTTGTTTAGGCAAATACATCTACCTGGGTCAAATTCAGGGATCCGAGCTTGGTATTCGGCTCCGACTCTCATCCCAACATCTGCAAAGCAATGCCAAAAAATATATATGTATAATAAAAAAGAAGAAAAGAAAGAAAAAGGAAGAGACACTTAATAAAAAATAAAAATCGCTGGATGGAGGAAAGAAGCGGCGGGTGGATGGGAAGATATTAACTCGGGGCACTCCGGGAGATGGAAGCGGATGGGGGGCGGGGAACGGGGGGGGGCAAGGGCGGAGGATTGGTCGAGGGCGGAGGGACGGGGGTCGCGGGGGTGCTGCTGCACTGCACCGGGAGTTCGAGGCTACCGCAGCGCCCGGGCTCTGAGGGGAGGGAGGGCGGTAGAGCGGCGAGGGGAGGGGGCTGGGGGAGGGGAGGAGGGAGGGGGGCAGGCGGGCTGGCGGGGAGGAGTTCGAGGCTACCACCGTGCTCGTCGTCGCTGCTGCAGCCGCTCTCGGGCTCCGAGTAGTGCAGCCCGCCGTTGGTGGACGAGGCGCCGGTGCCGCCGCCGCCCGCAGGGCTCTTGGCGCTGCCGTTGGCCGATCGGTTCTTCCCCAGTAACTCGGGCCCTTTCTCCATCATGCCGGGCATGGTAGAACAGGGGAGGGGGAAAGGTGAGGGGAAGAGGTAGGCGTCAGGGTGAAGGGGGAGATGGCTTAGAGCGCGGGCGGGAGTGAAAGGAGGAGGAGGAGGAGACGCGGCGGCGGAGGAGGAGGAGGAGGCTGTTAATATGGAGCCGCCATAACCGCCCCGCTCCGGCAGTAGCGCAGTCGCCTCACAACAACCCGCCCCGGCCCCGCCTCTCTCCCCTCCTCCCTTCGCCGCCGCCCGCCCCGCGCAGTCCCCGGCGCCCCTCTAGGCCGCGCCGCGCTTTACGCCGCCGCCGGTATCACTCCGCTCCGCAGGGAGGTTCCGGCCGCCTGGGGGAGGAGGGGAAGGGGGGAGGGGCGGGGAAACCCCGCACGCCTGCAGCCCGGCCACCCCAACCGAGCGCTAATAAAATCGCCGCCGATGCATGGCCGCCGCTCGAGCTTTCTTCCTAGGGGGCGCTCCGGAGCGCGGGCGGGAGGTGCACGCGAGGAAGCGGGACTCTTTGCCCTCTCTGGGCGGAAGGAACGCGGTCATCCTGAGAAAGGGCGGTCGCGACTCGACCGCGAGACCGGGGGGGAGCGGACCCAGTCTGCGGACACGGCTGCCGGCGAGCATCGGAGCGCGGCCCTCCTCAGCTGCAGCTCAATTCCCAGGTGTCTGCCGGCAGCTTCAAGCTGGGGGCGTGTTCTGGCCCGCCTTGTAGTCGCGCAGTCTACCAGGGCGGCCTTGGGGTTCTGAGGCCCAACCGGCGAAAGAAGTGGACTCGGCCCTAACGATCTTGACGCTGCAATTTTTGTTTCTGGATCGCTGAACTGGGGCCTGATTCCCTGGAGAGTCTGGGGATGAGTTTCCGGGCCTGAGGGAAGCAAGTGTATTTTGCTGAAGCTTCTCTCCCCAGTCCTAACCCTACTGTCTTCTTAGTCCCACCTTTTTTTTTTTTTCTGTTTTAATAGCTGGGGAGTGAATGCTGTGAGTGGGGAAATAAGATGAACATGAATCCTGGCTCGGTAGTCGCGTTTTCAGTTCTAGCAGACCTGCGGTCTCGGCTTGGAGCGCTCGGGGAGAGGGCGGAGTCCCCCTGCGGAGGTGAAGCGAGTTCTGTGTTCTGGCAGCATTTCCAGCCTGGAAGAAGATGCGCTCTGTAATGATTTTCTGAATTGCATTCGGCGAAAGGAGTAGGGAACTGCGTTTATTCCCTCACCAGATTTGAGGGCGTCTGCTGCGTGCCAGGCTGCCTGGTATTGGGGGCTGTTTATGACTTCCTTTTTTTCTCATTTCCCCCCCCCGTCACGAGTAAGTAGAAATAAGTGAAGACTTAACTGTGAGCGTCTAGTATGCAGGTGTATGCTGAGTGGTATCAGGGTTCAACAGATGCTCTCCAAGCACTTGAAAATAAAGATTGTCTTGTAACAATTCTATTACAAATTAGTGCAGAGTGGTTCAAACCAGGAATGAACCTCTCCGGCCAGAGCAAACCTTACTAGGAGAAATAACATATCTAACTCAGGAATTGAGCTGAAAAAACCCTGGGAAATAAATATTTCTAAAAGGAAAAGTCTCCTGTATGTGGACAAAACTATCTGGTTCTAGTAGTAGAGATAGTTTCTCTATTAAAGCGTAATATGATTCCTTTAAATATTTGAATCATAAAACTGAACTTTTTATTCTGTTCCTTTACTCAATAAATACAGTTCTGAATTTTTTTTTTTAATTCCCATATGGTTTTCCTACAAGGAGAGAATGCCCTGGCCAAATGAAATGAATGGCCATTTTCCTTGACAGTCATATTTTTCAGCACAAATTAAATACACTGGTATGTTGGTTTTTATGCCGCAGCTTCTAACGAACATGATTCAGCTGCTTTGGTCCTGTAACAAAAAAGCTAGACCCTGTTCAAATGCTACTCACTCTGAGGCCTCTTAGCCAGCCAGCTTTCTAACAACTTTGTGTCACTCCATGTAGTTTCCTACAGAAGGGAGTCTGCATATACATCAAGAACCAAAACATTAGGAAGATTTGGGGATTTTTGTAATTTCTGTTAATTAGTAAAACCAGTAAAATGAGAAGATTCCACTCGAGCATAGCAAAATAGGCCAGACCAGAGAAGACTGCATTCCACCTTTGGGAAAAGAACCTGGGTGAGGGGACAGTATGGCGCTTTCTGAAAAGGAAAGTATAGCAGGTTTCTGTTTTGTTCCTGAAGAAAAGGAAAGCACCTGAAGCTGGCCTGGTCTGAAGAATAATAATGGACCGTGAAATGTTTCCCAATAGCTAACAAGGACTAATATACAGAGAAAAGGTATAAGGAGAAATCTTGGAAATATGCCTGTCTGTAATGGGTAAAAAGAGGAAAAGAACAAGCTGGATAAGAAGAAGAACGCTTTAAGAATGAGTTAATGGCCAGGCGTGGTGGGTCATGCCTGTAATCCCAACACTTTTGGGAGGCCCAGATGGGTGGATCACGAGGTCTGGAGATCGAGACCATCATGGTCAACATGGTGAAACCTCGTCTTTACTAACGTTCTCTGCTTCATAGATGTTGTCTTGTTGCTTTATCCTCACAAGGCAGAAGAGTCAAGGCAGTTCTCTTCAACATCATTTATAAGGGCACTAGCCCCACTCAAGTCTTAATCATTTCCCAAAAGCCTATCACATTGAGTATTAAGTTCCAACATATGAAATTTGGGGGAACATACACATTCAGACCATAGCAAGACCTAACTAAATCACACGAGAACATACAAGATGAAAAATATAATGAGCTGAGAATGGGAAGGAGGGGAACACTAACATTAAAGGGTCTAAAAGGAAAAGAAATTGGTGAAAGGAATTGAGAAATAGGAAGAGAACTAGGAAAGTGTGCTTTACAGAAACCAGGAATACAGAGAGATGCAAAGAGAAACAGAGTCACCAGGCCAACAGAGATAAGACTCAAATGCTTACGCAAGTAAGAGTTCATGACGATTCTGGTAAAAGCAATTTTATTGGGATCGATGGGCTAAAAAGCCAAGCTACAGTGGATTGAGAAGTGAAGGAAGGAAATAGGAACAAAAAATGTAAGCCTACTTCAGAAAAGTAGTCATATGGGAAAGGAGCACACACACACACACACACACACACACACACACGAGACTAAGTGTCTTAAAGTAACTACAGAGATATAGCCAACAATATGTATATATCTAACATTTTAAAACTTGAAGTACAAATGCTATTTCCTCACTGTTACCATTTCCCCCCAATTATCAGATAGATGTTTGAAGCTGCAACTTTATGTTTAGAAAAAAAGTAGGCCGGGCGCGGTGGCTCAAGCCTGTAATCCCAGCACTTTGGGAGGCCGAGGCCGGTGGATCACGAGGTCAAGAGATCGAGACCATCCTGGTCAACACGGTGAAACCCC